AAATTAGTCGACCTAGTTGTTAATGTTGGTCTACAAACTGATAATTTAGGCTTCACACAATCATATGTGTGTGCTTCAGTAGGCTACTGACTTTCACTTAGCCTTTACCTGCCATAAAATTATACAGGATGCACATGAATTTTGAACTCGCTTCCTACCTATCTCCTGATGGGACCTAGGGAAGGTCATACTGCAATCCATCCTGTTTGAGATAATCTTTTGAGAGGCAAGGCTAGGTAAAATTCACTGGCTTCCTGAGGCCTATTCATCTCATTCTGAGAAGCCTTAACTATCAGTCCTTAAATCAGCCTAAGCGTAAATTTTTATTAATTCTTTTCGTTGGTCAACTTTAATTGATTCCGGCCATCTATTTAAACAAGCTTAAGTACTAACACTTATTCTCCCTATGTCCCCTCATTTATTTACTTTGTTTAATCCTCATTTTATCAGGTGCTTTTAATGTCTGTGTTTAACAATTTGGCATACAATGAGTGCTTTAAGTTCTTTCCTTTACTTCCAATGGATTTCAGGAGTATTTGTCAAAAATTTATATAATTTATATCTAAATTGCTTGCTTTGGAAACGTTTTCCAAGAAATGTGTTCTATTTAAGTATTTCTGGCTTGATCCATTAAACATCCTTAATAGCTGTAATTATTTCTTTCACTCGACGTTCCATTTCTAGAGGAAATCCAGAATACTTTTTTTGTGGATGCAGGACGAGATACGTTGTCCGAAGTCATTCTGACACCATGGCAAGGCTGTTTATTTGCTTTTTGCTATTTCCTCTATTTATCTATCCATTTGCGTTCAATCTTAACTGCTCTAGGAACAACAGCATCTGGGTCAACTGGTCTGCAGCAACGCCCCTCTGGTGGCAACCAGGCCCAGGTTCATGGAATCGGCTATTCCAATGCACCTTGCTCTGGTGGCCGTGTCATAGGTAATGTCTCCACAACTACTGGACAACCTGCTGACATTACCCGATTATCTGGCCCCTCGAATGTGAGTGTGCCAGCTCGGTCCTCTGGCCATCGTTCCTCAAATTGGTCTTCCACTGCTGGTGGTCTTGGCAGCTCAGCTCATGTAGGGGCACCTGGAAGTGGTACTGGCGCTGCTAGTGGCACTGGAGGGAGTGGTGGTGCCTCCAATAAAGTGCCTCTGACGCCTGAGGAGGAGGCAGCCAGAGCACGAGCTCGATCTTTGGCTGCCTCACATGCCGCAAAAGCTTCTGTTGCAGCACGAAGGGCACGTGCGGAGCGAGCCTTACTTGAACAGCGAGTGGTGCAGATCTATCAGTCATTTCTTAATCGACGAAAGCTGGCTATCAACTTGATTAAACAGGAAATCGAGGTTTTTTTTTTAAATTGCATTGTTATGTTTTTCTAGCATTTTAAATTATCATTCTTTATTCTTTTGTCAATATATTTGTATTCAGCATACCTAGTTTTACGTCTTTATAACAGCATATGGATGTGGTCTGAGCACATCTTCACAACTTAGTCGTGTTATCAAGGAGACTTAGTTGGACACATCTTGCTTGCAGTCCTCTTCTATAATAGTTAGCATAATTCCCAGGCGTTTCTCCGGCATCGTTATTGAGTTTTGCTATTCTCAGCCCCAAGCTACAACTCGTCAATGAGACGAGTGAAGTCAATCCCTTGATTACCTCTTTACCAAAATGGTTGTGCTATCTCTCCTCATCTATCTACTCCCTATCCACTTCCCTAGAAGTGTG